ACCGAAACCAACCTCCTCCCCCTCCCCCTCCTCTCTCTCTCTCTCTCTCCCTTATCAAAAGTATTGCAATCACCGTGGAAATAAAATAACGAAGGGACGAGGATGGAGATCACGAGATCGTGATAGTTTTCTGATACGTTTCTGATATTAACGTATAAACTTTGATTGGGAAAAGTGGCCGATTCCCTTGAAACTTGATTAACAAGGTTTCGAAGAGAAGATAAATATAACAGAGAGAAGGGATATATATATGTGGAATAGCGACAGTGGAATCGTTTATTGAATATTTGAAAAAAAAAAAAAAGAAAAGAAAAGAAAAATTAATCTTAAAAGGAAGATCTGTCCTTTCTTCTTTCAGGATGATTATTATAATATGACGCGCGTTGTTATCGGGATAGATTATGACTGTGTTCAGTTTAACGCTCTCGCGAGAGAATTGTAAAAAAAAAAAGAAAAAAAAAAGGGAAAAAAGTATCGCTGTTAAAATTCATAAAGAAGATAGAGGTTTTAAAATTCGGTGAAGTTACAACATTTTAAAATTTAAAATTTCATTATGGGCGAGTCGCGGGCGGTTAAGTAATTTCGTTTTAATGGTTGATCTAAAGCGCTTACGTCATAGGTGATACAGCGGAAAATGGTCGAGCAGTTACGGTATTTTGAAAATGGGCCCTGGAAATGAGGAGCGCGGTTACGGGAGGAAAATATATTGGGTGAGATTTTCTTACGTCAAATTATTATTTTGCCATTGATATTTTCATTTTTAGATAGATTAAATATATTTAATTTTTGCAGATTCCTCTTTGTAAACTCTTTGAATCGCGATCATTACTAATGGAAAGTATCAAAGGTTCGAATTCGAGTGAATAGCGACGATGTAAAGATAGCTTTGACCAATTAACTTATCCAGTCTTACTTAACTTAATAATTAAAACGATTCTTCATCATATGAAAATTATCGTAGTACGTTCTATCGATGTACAAACAATTGATTCTCGATATTACAGAACATCGATTAATTTTTTCTCAGTATCGTAAGTGAAATTCCACAATTCCACAATTTTTCTTCCAACGATTCTTACATTCACCAATTTCCGTTCCGAGCGTTTCAAAATTTAAATTCGAAAGCAAGTCAAAAAGTGAACGATGAAAATGAAAAAAAAAAAAGAAAAAAATGGCATAAAATCCAAAAACTCGCAAGTTCCCTTTTTTGTTCCCCCAATTTATCGACACTAACTAGAGAAACGAAAAATTCTGCCAATTCCTCCAGCGACACTAATGCGCGCCCAATCCGAAAATTGATTCGCGCAATTGTCGAGAGAGACGGAATCAACCGGCCCGTGATGTTGAGAAGAGTATTGGCGAGAATGGAGAGAATTGCTGTTCGCGAAGAAGAGGATGGATGTTGCGGATTAAAACACGGAGCATATTGTTGCGGTGGGCGCAATTGACAGTAACGAGGGATACGAAGTTGACTTTATCGCGCGCGGAGTAATACGCGGATTAGGAAGACCGCTAATACCGGTGGCGTGGAATTTCAACGCGCTTCGGTTTACACGGGGCCCGTGTCTCCCTCTCTTTGAGGCGACGTGTCGTGAAACGTAATTAAACTGCCGCGAGCATGGCGTAAAAGGCAGTGGCACTCACCTCAATCTGCTGTGCTCCGAATGCGGCGACTCCTCGGGCGATTTGTAACTGTTACCGGTCTGAAATGGAGAAAGGGTCTTGTTAGGAACAATCTGTTCGATCGTGGAAAAAATTGAAAATTGATCACCAGGTAATGCCCCTTCCTCTTTGATTTTTAGAAAAGTAGAAAAATATATCGAGATGAGAAGAGAAGAAGAAAAGGCCTTTTGTCAGGAACGGCCTCTTCGATCGTGGAAAAATTGAAAGTTAATTAATTGGAAGTAATAACGTGTTCTTTTTTTTTTTTTCGTTTTCAGAACAGAAAAAAATCTAGTTAGAATAATTGGAGGAAAAGGAGAAAGAAAAGGCCTTGTTAAGAACCACCTGGTCGATCGTGGAAAAATTGAAAATTGATCAGGAGGTGATAATCCTTTCTTCTTTGATTTTTAGAATAGAAAAATATAGGAAGGGCCTCTTCGATTGTGGAAAAATTGAAAGTTAATCAAAAGATAATTATTTGTCCTTGTTTAATTTTGAGGAAAGTATTGAATTAGAGATTATTGGAGATTGAAACGAAGGGAAAGAAGAAAAAAGGGATCTTGTTAGGAACAACCTCTTCGATCGAGGAAAAATTGAAATTAATTGAGGAGACAATAATCCTTTCTTCTTTGATCTTTGAAAATAGAAGAACATCGAGTTGGAAGAAAAGAAAAAAAGGTTCTTGTTTGGAACGGGCTTCGATTGTGGAAAAATTGAAAAATAATTGGAGACAATAATCCTATCCCCTTTTGGTTTTGAATAGGAAAATATCGAGTTGACAGTAATTGAAAGTTGGAATAGCGATACAGAGGAAAAAGAACCTTCTTCGATCGTAAAAAAACTGAAAATTAATTGAAGATAACAATCTATCCTCCTTTCGCATTCGAGAAAACTGCATATATAATAAGTTAAGATTAGTTAAATACGAAGAAGTTTGAAGCTAGATAAATGTTCCTTCTCGCCGCAATCATCGTATTCTACTTGTTGAATTGGAACTTTCCGCTCCCCGTATACTATTACTTGGACAACTGAGATTTTCCTATTTATCCAACACCATCCCTGTTCGTTTGAGCGAATGGAATATTAATCCATTTCTTAAAATATATTTTTACCTTTTGCAACAATATTATTCTCGACGAATTAATCGAAACAAAGTACCATTTTTCTCGTGCGAAATATAAATAATTTAAAAACATCTAGCCAGAATAATTCTTCCGACGAATAATTCTTTTCGACCGATCCTCGAAGAAATGGGAAAACTCTTGAAAAACGTTTCAAACGATAAATTCGATTCTCTGTTCGAAGCGGAGTTAAAAATAGGCAAAAATTACCGGGTTCATAAAGTTTCTCAATATTCAACGATTCTGGACGATCACCGCACGGCCAACGCAATATTATTCCCCGCAATAGAATCAGTCATCGCGACGGCGTACAACAGCCACCCAAGCCCAGGTTTAATTCGTCGAAACGATTTCGTCGACGATTTGGCGCGGATTCCTGTTTCGTGGCACGCGAAATAACATTCGCCTGGCTAGCAGCGCGCCCCCACACCTTGAGGTCGCCTCGAAATCACCGCGATAAATTCGTTTCCCGCCATCGTGGTCCACGCCATCGAGCGGCAATAAAGCCGAGCGGCGAAGAAGGACCATCGATATAAATTCTCGACTTTCTCCATACCGATATTTCCATACCGATATTTCCCGCGAATATCGGATTCATAGTTGACCCAGGTTGAAATCGTAGTGGAAAAGGCGGTTCGACGAATGGAATCGTCGGGAGGGCGGCGTGATATACGGCTGGGTAACGAGGATTTATGTCGATTAAAGGGTGAAAACGAAAGAAAAGAGAGGAGGGAAAGAAGAAAAGGAGAACGGAGAGAAGCGAATACGAAAGGAGGGGGAGCGGTGGAAGAGAGCGGGGGGTTTCCATCGATTCCCTTCCGTAAATTTCTTCGTTAGGCCACGCTCGATTCGACGGAGAGCAAACAGCAAGGCGCGCGCGTTATCGACGATGCAATTATATCGTCGATCGACGTGGGCTTCCACCACCAGTTATTAGCGGAATGATACAATTATCTCGGAAGCGATTAGTCGACACGACTCTCTCTCTCTCTCTCTCTCTCTCTTTATCCGATCAAATTTATGTCGCCGCGTGGAAATGGCCGTCAGTTTTAACCGTCGATTCTTCTTTTCTTTTCTTTTTTTCTTTCCCCCCTCTTTTTTCCCTTCTAAATCCTTCGTTTCGATCGTTTGATTTGCCATCAAAATTATCTCTCGCGATCTGCATTTACCTCGATCAGGACAGACAAATAGAAGGATCGAGGCAAGAAATTGGAATAAAAGAAAACAGAGAGAACAGAGGAACCGTTCTCTAAAATCGATTTCAACGCGGATAACGCGTAGTAGTAATAGTAGTAGCGGTGGTTGGTTATTAATCGTTATATGGAAATACAACGCGTTGCAATGGCGGGGCGGTCCCGTTTCCACGATATCGCGCCACTGACAATAATAATTGTTTCGATTCGACAGGAAAATTGAATAGAGGCCGCGGGTATTATTAAACGATTGTTCACGCTGGTAGTTTACGTTCCGTCGGTCATTACGAGTTCAATCTTTCGCTAATTGGCGAATCGAATTTGGCGCGCCAATCCTCGGCCGTTTTCGTTTTTTTTTTTTTTCCATTTTCGAAAGTGGACGAGAAAAAAAGAGAAAAACACACAACGTTTCGAAAGAAACGACGCGACGATTCAGCCAGGCGACGAGGCGACGATTCCCGTCGAATCGAATTCGGGAAAGCTTTAATTTACAATTCGTGGCGAAACCTCGTCGCTTGCTTGCCTTCCACTCGACGCGTTGCAAAGATATTTTGCTTCGAACGCCTGTTCAAACGCGACGAGATTCGCGCGATTTTCATCCGCGATGGCACACACTGTCGTTCACCGCGCCATTCCGCCATTGTTTTCACCACTTTCGCCCGGAGTTTAAGCGCCCTTTCGAGGACTTTCGCCCGATTGTGCGCCAGCCAAGTATTATTCCCGCCACGATCGACTCCCGTGTTTTGGCACGGGAAACAACATCCTTCGTTTCTTCGTATAGAAGAATGGAATTCGTTCCCCGTAAGGGAACGAAGATGTTGCCGCCGGGAAGATGAAGAAGAGAGAAATACGATTTCGAGACGATGAGCGTAGGCATTCGACTTTGGAGAAGTAAAAGTTAAGATAGTGAATATATATCTTAAATGAACGTACAGGAATTGGAATAAAATGGAACGAAAATTTCCATTGGTTCTCTAATTTGGAAATTAATTTATAAATTTACAAAGTTAAATTAAATTGATGAAAATGGTATAAAATCTTCCCTGGAGAACTAATTTTTCCTTTACTTCGATCATTTGGAATAATCTTTAGGATAATCTTATTTAAACAAATTTTCAAAGCCTTCCCATTCACGCGAATGAAACATCTCTCTTTGTTCTCGTAATTCCTTCTTCATAATCTTCGCAACGATAAACATTCCGATCTTCGTTCGTTCACTCACTTCAAATTATATATCGCGACTTGTCGCTGTTTCATCCTGCTTATCGCCTTATCTTATCCTTTACCTTTTCAGGAATTCAAGGTTTACAAGGATGAGGCGAACAGGAGAGAGAGAGAATGGAGATCCGTACGAGGTCACGGAGGAGACGAGTTAAACGGCATCCAACATCGTCCGTGTATGCGCGCACGGAGGCCATTTTCGCCGGGAATGCATCGAGCGGCAAATGTTCTCCTTTTCTTCCTCCTCCTTCAGTATGGAGGACGATTGTTCAGCACGGCGAAAATTCGGCGATTCCCCGAAGGTAGCGCGAGAAATTCAATTTGCTCGCGTATCACGTCTCCCTGCCCGATTTATCGCCCGTTTCTGAATGAATTCCGAGTGGAACGAGACGCGTGCCGCCTAGAATTAACGTCACGCGACAACAACGCGTTTCGCGTTTTCTCGCCACTCTCTCTCTCTCTCTCTCAACTGCCTCCTTCTTCGTGGAAACTTATTTTTAAGCAAACGTTCCTCCAATACGCGGCGATCAGATCTACATCAGGATCATTTCTAAAGATCGTGTAAGTTCAATTATGTTTTTTTTTTCTTTTATTGTTTCGATCCACATACAGGTGTATTTGTTTCTAAGAAACTATATGTGATATTTCATTTATAAAATATAGATCAAAAATAATATATTAAACGCGTTTGAAAAATTATAGATTTATAAATTATTCATCCAAGGATGAATAGTCTATGTATAGCTATTATTTATTTTTAAGAAAGTATAGATATAGATAAAAAAATAGATTTATAATAGAGTAAGTAAGAGAATGAATGTTTGTACAACGGATCGAATCAATATTGATTAACGATCATCTGATTCCTCTCGAATTAAAATCTGGCTGATATGTATAAATAAGAAGGTACAAGTAAGCATCGGGCAGACAGATGTTATTTCAGATTTTACAAATATATATACCTTTCATCCTCAAATTTCAATCTCCCCTCAAGTTTAAATCGACTAAAATATTCAACCGAGTCAAACCTTGCCACAAAATTACCATTTTCATCCTCGGTCGAGAGATGTATTCTTCTTCGCGCATCCACCGCACCCTTTAATCTTCCGTGTCTGAAACGTTTTCGATCCACGCCGCTGACGATCTTGACATCGCGCTTTCCTCCTTGCCACCAATGACACCAAGCAACAAAGGAATTTTAATAGCAGAAACTAAGGAGAAGACAGAGGAAGAGGAGAGAGGGAGATCGTTGCCACCAATGACACCAAGAACAAGGGAATTTTAATAGCAGAAACTAGCCGAAAGAGGAGAAACAGAGAGAGAGAGAGAGAGGAGAGAGAGAGCAATAGTTGGAATGGTACAGGGTTTGGTAGTCCATCGAACAGGAGCGTTGTAAGCGGGGGCTTAGAGTGGATGCGGAATCAGCCTAATCACCCGGAAGTGTCGCCACTGTTCACCGCTAATCCGATCGCAGATGTTTCCCTCTCGATTCAACCCTCCCATTCG